GTTTGTCTCACTGCCAGATTGTACAGTGACTGAATGACCTACAGTGAAAATCATTTAACATATGCCCAAATACCCATGTTTAAATATGTTTTCCAGAGATACAGCAGTACGAGTGAAAATACTGAAGTTTTAGAGTGCAATTACTACTTTCTGGCTTGTTATCTTTCAGAATATGAGTGTGTATAAAGGAGAGGACCTACCCTGAGGTGCAGTTTCCCATGATGATTAATCAGAGAGTCCCTGGTTGTTGGAGAACAACCTGATACTGCAGTAGCCTCTGGTCCAACTAAACTTTCGGTGGCTGCATCAGCGAATGCTCAGGCCACAGCAGCGAGGGGAATCAGAGAGAGAGAGGAAGAGAGAGAGAGAGAGAGAGAGAGAGAGGGAGGGACAGATGACAACACAAAACTCTATTTGTGGGAATTTTTCTTGGCTATTTTGTTATTTTGATGGCTGAATACCCACTTCATGCATGCATCTGTTGCTAAAGATTGTCACATAAATAAAAACTTGAGCCTTTTACATAAAGTGTCCTGTGCACATGCTCATATTGTGCACATGTCGATGTGTCTTCACGCAGACCCAGTGTCCGAAACCTTAGTCTTCTGTATTTCGGTAAGCTTCAGAGCTCAACCCATGTGAAGCTGCTAAATATCACAAAGTCTTACGAGCTGTAGAACCAAGTCTTAACCTCTGAACCCTCCACTTCCAGTGGTCACCGCCATTACATCTGAAACCATCTGCAAAGATATTGCAAACAGTCAAAAAAAAAAAAAAAAAAAAGGTGGGAGCATGCTTGTGCATTGAAGTGACCTTTGCTGCAAATTTTGAGGTTGCAACTGAATAATCTTATTTGCATGATTGTGCAAAAAGTAAATAAAATGAGGAGCATGAGGAAGTTAGCAGCGTTTCACATGTGCAGTGGAAAGTCTAAGTTTATATTATAAATTCTATCTTTGTCCAAATGAAAACTAGACCTTTATGGGCAACAGGAACAATATACTTGATATACACCACACAGTAAAATTTGCTATGGAAAATCTCACACTGATAGGAAAATTAGGTCTCATCTTTGTCGTTAAATGTCAATTTTTTTTTAAATGTGTGCATCTGAGACAAACAGCAATATCTGGTGCAATTTTTTTTAATGCTGCCAGATCTACTTGTAAGCCAATTTAACTTTGTTTTGAATAAACTGGACAATTTCATAGAAACCGGGAAGCATACCCACTCTTATTAATGTAAAGTTTGGGGGTTAACATTTTGACAAATTGAGAAAAATATTATTAAATATAAAAGTATTGACTGGGCTGGCTTTGTGTTTCTAACAATAGTCTTTTAGTAAATTAGAGCTAATCATGAACCACTTTGAGCTACGGCACACCAAAGCTAACAATCCGGATGGAACAGTGCATAATAATGTCCTCCATATATCTGTAATTAGCGTCAGAGGTGAGCTTTATCAATTCCGAAGAACGTCTCCTTTCTCTATAAGCTGAGTTTACAGGCACTATTGCTTAAGGATGTAACTCCTCTCTCTCTTTTTCATGTCTTAGTTACTGTTTGAACACTTTTGCCTTCGCAATTACACTTCTCAAAATTTCAAAATTGCTCCATAAAACATCCCCGCATTTGTAAACAACATCTTCATAATACAAATACACCATTTATCATTTAATAAAAGAGTTTGCAATTAAGATATGGTAAAGGCTAGTTGACAAAAAGGAAGTTCTTACTGTGTCTAAGGAACTACGTTGATGTGACACAAGCTGTCTGACAGGGGAAGCCATTTATACCAACTGAGACCTTTGACATAGTGCATTTCTGGTGCTGGTTTCTACTTTAAATCCTAAGATATTGTTCTTGAATATGTCGTGCCGTGTCACTTTACAAATGAACTTATAATATTGTTTGTGTACTGAGACAAAAAGAATGGCCAATTTATTAAAATCTTCAACAGTTTTATGTTGCTCTGGTCTAAATATTTGAGATAACAGAGAGAGACCCATCAGTTTTGTTTGTTAAAACTTGAAAGGTCAGTATTAGTGTCCTGGCGGTATGGTGTACGTGCTTTTATATCTACACTCCCAGTGAGTCAAGCAACTTTTTTCATAGATATTTTTCTTTTACATGAAGACATATTTTATGTACCATGTCTCTCAGGGTCTTCCTTTTTTTCCCTCCATTTACAACAACACTCGAAGTGACAGGCAGCCTGTTGTCACCACAGCGCTCTGCCTGTCATGTGATCTGCACTAAAAGCTGTGCAGACATCCCCAGGCAGCTGTCAGTGTGTGAGAGTTATGCTAATTATTGTTATTTTTAACATTCAAAGTGAAGTGACTAGTTTATAGAGAGGCAGAACAACTTTTTTTGCTCATTTATTTAACCAGAAATTTCAGAAAAAAAAATTGTATTGATATTAAAAAAATCAACATGTCCAGAAGGGGGAAAAAAAATACTCAAGAGCTTTTGTGTGGGTATTTTTTTCCATGTTATTATACAATTGCTTCCCTGCAGAAACTCTGACTGGAATAAAACATCGAGAAAAACTCAAATTGCAGCATGCGGCACATCATTGATGGGTTTAACTTCAATGCGGTATTGGACTAGTACTGATTGGTCCTGGCATAATCTTAAGAGACTTGAAGTCACAGCATATCATGAACTGAGTTTTGACTGAAACGTAAGAATTTGTGCTGTAAATATTTGTAATCTGCACAGGAACTGAATGCATTATTTGGTGATTTGTGTCTTGAGAGAAGAACAGTAATCCAAATGCAGAACATTAAGAAACTTTTGCAGATACTGCACATCTGTCTACATAGTATACAGACCATTCAATAAAGCAGAATATTGTTGAACAGTTATTTTATTTCAGGAATTTTGTCACTAACTGAAACACATAATAATGTGTCATGTAGATTAGTTACACACAGATGTAATTAATCTATGTTATTTCTCTTAATTATGAAGATTTTCCACTTATACTTACTAAACCGTTTTATTTTCCTAAAGTACTTTTAATCTGAAAAAAAACGAGCATCATCCGAGCGCATATGACTATGCAGTATCAATTTTCAACACTAGATGGTGCTGTTCAGAAACTCAGTCGAGTGCCTCGTACACAAATTGAGTTTAAGCTTTCACTTCTTACAGGTTTGAATGGAAAAACAGGAAAAAATAGCACTAACATTTAGCAACAAACGACAAAGAAAGAACTAAATGTAAGTGACTAACATGTAAGTGGTCTGGTTTTCTTCATGTATTACATGGCACATTTGCTTCAAATGTCTTTTCCGGGGGGCGTTGTGGCATAAAGTGTGCGCCTTCACATTAGGGACAAAGTTTGAATAAGTCCTATCTTGATTTAATCTGCATGCACTTTTTAATTGATATGCAGGTAACATTCTGTATCTTTCATGTACTGAAACACACTTGTACAGGATGCTGTGGGAGGTCAGGATGTGGTACAGAAGTGGTGAAATGAAGCCCCTGCACTTAGCTCAGTAGATTATTATCAGTTCTGGGTAAGAGCATGCTCAACCTAATGGAAAAACGGAACTACTGTTTAAAAAGTATGACTTGACTAGTAAATGTGAACTTCTCCAGTTTCACTGAAAAAAGGGTTGATTTCACATTTCAGAGTAAAAATAGTGAGGATAGCCAGTATAGATACAAGTTATGAAGACGCAGTTATAGGCTTGACAGTCAAGCTAATTGTCATTGATCAGTTACAATTTACCCTGTTGCTGAATCAGAAAGTGACGCTGGTGGTTGAGATTCCCTTCTGGCTGTGATGCATCTCCATTTGTGTTGGTGTTGCTTTTGTTTGTTACAATTTTACGGTCGCTTTTCTGTAATTTCTTTAAAGCTTAACACATATGTTTGTTTTGTAGCTACACAGACAGAAGTCAGAGTGTAAACAACGTTTCTGTCAACATCTTTCTGTATCTCAAAAGGAAGTCAAACATTTTCTGTCATTAGTATTGAAATACACGGTTGAGTTAATCCTCAAACTTTTTGCTTCACATTCCTTCCATATTTCCAATTTTAACAAGCCTATGAAATTATAAATTATTGGTAAGTGGAGGTTTTCTATTGTAATCTGATGTCTTCCCTTTGTCATCAGGGTCTGGGTCACAGACAGTCTTTATTTGACTTGATTAGTGCTCTGATCATCAAATCTTAACTCCTCAGTCCTAGATTTGAAAAAACAAAAAAAAAAAAAAAAAACACATATAAGCCTTCACTAATATCAGCTTCACTGAAACAATAGGTGACAAGTGGCAAGAATTACATAGTGTAGTAGAAAACGTCTGCAATCTGAAAATCCAATTGGTCAATCATGAACCTTTAAATATTTTATTGTCTGTAATCTGTCTTCTGTCTTTTGGACCTACAATTATTGTTGACGTTTTCGCCAGGTCACCCAGAAGTACGTCCACAGACAGACACTAGGTGGTGCTGGAGAACCCTTTCCTTTGGAGAAAAAGTGAAAAAGAGAAATATTTTACATTTAAAAACTAGAAGTGTTAGGGATATGTAAAATAATTAGATGTTAGTCATATCCTATACCTAGGATTTCAACAATAAAGAACAACAGCAAAAAATGTGTTTTACTTGAATATTTGTCTTATTGAAACAGTAGTAGGCATCAGCACACAATCCGCATCACCTGATCTTCTACACAAGATGGCGCTGTTGAGAAAAAATACAGTTTGTCTACCATAACACTGAAGGTGGAGTGCACGGAGTCTGAAAAAGAGAGTCTGTTTACACCAGGTGCTGCTTTTACGAGAGGGAAATAGTAGAAAGAAGAAAAAACCCTTCTGCCTTGAATCTTGGATCTGAACTCCCACTTGCATTGGCTTCTGGAAAAAATGTGTGAGCTGGACAAGAATGGCAAACAGAGAGGAAAGAGAAGTTTCTCATGGACTAGTTGCTTCCACTTGTGTTTTTTTGCTCATGGGCACTACCAATACTCACTGGGCTGCCTGCTTTTATATAATAGTGTCTATATGAGGTTCATATTTCAGTTCTTCAGCTGCTTAATGTCTCTTAATGAGTTTGAGCATATTGGTGGGCCTGGGTTGTTCGTGTGAATCGATAACCAAAATGCCCAGAGTAACAGAATGAGCTTCTCCTGGACAAAGAACCCGTCCACCTCCCAAGTGTAATGGTCAAGTGTCATGTTGAAAGTCATCCAATATCCCCTGATATAAATTCTGTGGCACAATCAACCGAAGATGTTCCTGAAACAGAGAATAAAGAAATCAGACAGAAGAATGACAGGAAGGAGCTGATGTCAAATCTGAGTTTTAAACAGATCTCCATTAGTGAGTGCCGATCTATATCAGCCAGGAACCCAGACCCTTTTGGACGAAGCAAATAGCCTCGGACAAGAGCCTGGTTTTTACCAAGTCACTGAACACTGTCTTCTCAGAATTGAACAGTAGACATCCAAAGAAGATATTTAGCTAACAGAGTTTTTTGGGGGTCTTCAGATCAATGTATAACTTTGAGGTATCTGTACGCCAACTTGCATTGCTGGGCTTCTGGTAAAGGCATGACAGCATTGCTTGTTGCAGTGACGACTTTGTGCATGTTTCTGAAAAAGCGATGTCTGAAGTTCATCTTAATGAAAAGTAACCACCATATGTGGGTATGCATCTGCTCTGGGAATGCTGAAATAACTTTTGCATGTGTGAAAATATGTCTACTCTTTCTATCTTTGCACACGGTGAATTTTGTCACCTCACGGTATGCTGAAAAACACGTACTGGATGGCCGAAGAAAAAACGTAGGTCAGGAAGTGGCTACACAACTAAAATGAACCTGCAGCTGCTTATTTGAAAGTTTTTGTATTGAGCATCTGATGGACGATGGACAAAATGCAGCTCCTGATAATCTGGTGTACTGCCTTTATTTGCATTTGTGGAGAAAATGAAGGTAAAGCTTTTGTTTGTTTTTTCCCCAGCCTCTCTCTTTGGTTTTAATTTTAAAAGATGTCTGTTAAGAAAGCAACAAAAGAGATTTCATTTGAGCATGATTGTGACTGCGTACTTATGTGACAGAAATGGCCAATTTGTTTCCTTCAATTGATTTATTATTTATTTGTTTCACTGATGAGGTTTAAGTCAGGAGTTAATTAAAACGATAAAAAGACAAGTTTTTGAGAAAAATATCTAAATAGCTACTGGATATTTATGTTATAAGCTCTAAAAGTTTTTAAAACTATATTGTCTATTGTAATGTTATAAACAAGCAATAGTCATATAAATAAACAACCCTGTAATAATTCTGTATTGTTTTGCCCAGTTTTATTGGAAATGGCTGGCAATGTTTGGCAATAAGCACTTTTTAAAAAATCTAATTAAGCATGATATTGTACTTGACAGTACTTTGAAAATTGTGTCATGAAAATCAAATTAATCTTTTGAAATTACAGTTTCTTCGTGTGAAGTGATGGCCGAAGTGCTAAGAGGAGAAGCAAAACGTGTTTCCCCTGGAGAAAATCTGACAGTCAAGTGTCCCGTCAAACACTGTGGGGAGTTATTCAATGTCATTTGGTTTAAATTCTCTAACACATTAGAGACCTGGGAAAACATTTCAGACACAGAGAACATAAGAATCACACAGAAAGACGACAAAGAGAATCTGACCTCATATTTAAGTTTTGAGCAGGTTTCCATTAATGATAGCGGCCTGTACAGATGTGCTTTAGGACACAGTAACGAATTTACCAGCCATCACATCAACATCTCAGTTTCAGGTATTTTTTTTTCTCCAAGATTTACCTGTGAAATGCATGTATCTGGTTCATTGTGTGAATCTGTTTTCTTTTGTCGCTCAAGAACTAAACAAAGGAGTAGAAAACCCCGATGATGATGCAGGTAAGAAGCTTCATATAATTTTGCACATTTACTATTACATCTATTTTAACATTATTCTTTCATGCATTTGGTTCAGACAGTATTGGTGACGATCGCTCCACGCTACACTTCCTCCTGATTGGTGTTACCATTATATTTCCGATCGCCATGGCGATAGTGTTGATCCTCGTGTGCGTTCAGGGCTGGAAACGTAAGACAATTAATTTAGCTCTGTTGCTTCTGTGCAATATTTGCATCTTCATTCCCCTTGTTTTTTACAGAAATGTGGACTTGCAACAATAAAAATCAAGAGGTAATGTAAATCTATTTCACATAGTGGAGTTTTGTTTGGGTTTTACTCTTTAGGGTTTTGCAAATAACAAGAACTCTGAGATGTTTTAGTAATCTGACTTATTAAAAAATTATTTTGTTTTCAATAAGGCAATTCACTAAATAAAACCCATTTAATACAATAATTACACACAGTTATGTTTTTAAATATTGATTTTGATTAATTATGGTGATGTTTTATTTAAAACTAATGGGAAAGTAATTTAAGATGACAATATTATATCAGACCAAAAGACATATTTTAGTACAGAACTGTGGGCTTACTGGTTAGTTTGTTTAATACTTGCTTAAATGTTATTTTCAAAAGGTTTCTGAGAAATGAGCCTCAAATGTTCAAATTTACTAAATTTACTGAATCTAAATTTATAAATTCAGAATTTATCAACATGCAGTTGAAATAGCAAATTATTTTGTTAAGATGAAATACTGGCATCGTATTTAGAGATGAGGAATCAAGAAGAATCAGAAAATGTTTGAGTTGAAACTCAAAGGTTTTAATATAGTAAGTTTGCAACACTTGCAGCATGACTCATAAAAAAACAACTTCACGCTTTAGAGTCTCAGTGTAATCAGTGGTCAGTTCAAATGCAGAAGTGTTTCCTTTTTTACACAAAGGCTTCAAGTCGTGGTAAAGACGCATCACGTCTCTATCTCTACAGAAGGTTTTGGTAGATTTTAGATGAAACATCCAAATGTGTCCTTGTTGGTTACATTGTGATATGAGGGACAAGAGAGAAGAAGAGAAAACCTTCCTAATGAGAGTTTAAGATCATCTTGACTTTCGTCACCTCGTAGTAATTGTACAGTTTATCATATTCAGATACAGTAAATTTTTCTTTTTTTAATTTGTTTGCTTCTTGCAGGAAAAACCTACACGTATGCTATCAGAACTCCCCGAGACGAGCGCCTCTTCTTCTCCCAGCCTGCGAACTCAATTCTCAGATCTGAGCAACACTTGTTCTTCAAGTAAACCAGAGAGAACATCAACATCCCTCGCTCTCGCTCTCACTGCGAATGTTGCAGATACAGCAGCTAATAGTCAAGCTTAAACTATGCAGTGTTTACCATAATCAACTACCAACAATGTGGGGCACCAGCCAGGAAGTACACATGTAAGCAGGATGAAGCAACAAATTGCTGTTATCAACGCCTTAAACGTTGATAACGTTTAAGGCGTTGATCTAACTGTATCTAACTGAGAATAAGTTAGAAACATCCAGACTTACGTGGAAGTATAGATGACCCACACAAGTATGAATGTGCAGAACATCCACTTATTTTGGGTGTTGGTTAAGTGACCGTGCAAAAAGAGGGCAGTTACATTTAAAGTAACTGCATCATCAAAAGATGATTTTTTTATGTGCATTTATCATTTCATGTTGTAATCTCAGCAATTCAGGGATTTGAAAAACTGAAAGTATTATTTTAAACAAATATGTGTTTTGCGTTACTTTTACTTAAGATTATTAAATGTCTGAAATGCTGTGTAAATTCAAAGAGCAATGTCAAGAAAAAACACACAAGACCATTCTGTCACACATTTCCTGTACAACATATTCATCAATGGTGAATGTTGTTTCTGGTGTTTTTGGCTGGTCATGCATGTAAAAGAGCTCTTGATGATAAAGAGACTTGGGAGAAAAGGGTTAAGAAGAACTGAAAACGTGATTTGTTTAAGACAAAAATAACATTAGACATGGGTTAACGATTTGCTGAAGGCTTTGTCCTCAAATTGAGATGAAAGAAAACGTGAAAAAGTGGCACATTTTGAATTAAATATGAAAGAGAAATTTTTCAAATGGAAAACTGAAAACTAGTTTAATATGAAGTGTGGAAAATATGTAAAATAATAAGATTGTTGTCCTGTTATTTACCACAGATGTCAACAATAAAGAACTGAAAAAAAGTCTTCCACTTGAATATTTTTCTCATCAAAACATAAATAAGCATCAGCACACAATCAGCATCACCTAATCGTCTACACAAGATGGCACTGTTGGAAAAAAAAATAAAATAAAAACAGAGTTTGTCTTGTTTCACAGAGACATGAAATCTAAAAAAAGAGATGGGAGTGTATTCACACCAGGTGATGCTTTTATGGTGTGGGAAATAGTAGAAAAAAGAAAAATTGCTTCTACTCTGTTTTACTTTTCTGGTCAGAAACATTGACATGTCATAACGGACTTGAGTCAAACCCACAGAAAGTCCCTGTTTCTTCTTAAATAAGCATTAATCCTAACAGGCTTTCAAAAGGTTTGGCTTTCGTCTTGAACCATTTCTATAACATCCAGCATTTTTAGGGATCTATGCCCCCAGTTTTGGAATATAAAACAGCTTGTATGTTATGATGGTCCTCATTTGAAACATGAACTGGGACAAAAACAAGTCCCTCTGTTTCTGTGCGGTCATTTTCTCTTAAGGTGGTGAGTTTATGCTTGTTGGTGTGCCTAGGTTATTTGAAGTGTGTCATGAAAGAAAAATACTGATTCTGTTAAAGTGTAAGAAATGAAAACCTTTGCTGTGATTACAAGCATTGATCTCCAGAAATTTGTGTGAGATGTTTTTCCATCTGTGAAAATCATGCGTTTCTTGCCTCATGTTGCTGAAATACAACTTGTCCAGACTGAAAAAGCACCTGGGAGGTCAGGAGGTGCTGAGCTTTTCCATATTGATTACACAAATTACACAAATTAAGTGAAGTTGCAGACGTTTATTTGTGAGGTTGGTGATGAACCTTTTTAGCCTCATGGACAGAAAACATTTCCTGATAGTTTGTATGCTACAGTTATGTGCATCGCTGTATGTTCGTAAAATAATATTGTATCTTACCAAAGACAAGTCTGTCAAATAAGCGACTAGGGAATGTGTAGATTAAATATTAATGTAATAACAGAAAAGATGATCAAGTGTGGTCGAGCGTCCATGTTATAATCTGGGGGTCTCTTTTAGTATAAATTGTATTTTTATTCATAGAAATACAAATAAAATTTTGGTTGTTTAAAAATGACATTAAATTTCCAAAAATAGATCAAAAGTTAAATGTTGTCTAATTTTCAAAGAGTTATATAACTCTACATAAGTCTTATTTTACTGGATTCAATGGGAAAATGGCTCTGGATTGTAAATGGTTTAGACCCCGGGTCTATACTCAAGTGATTTCGGCATCTTCTCAGTTTGGAACCATAACCATGAGATGAAGGTGTTTTTTTTGTGGTCTTCAGATCAATGTATAACCTTGAAGTTGCACTGCAGAGCTTCTGGTAAAAGCATTGCTTGTTGCAGTGCTGACTTTGTGCATGTTTCTGAGGAAAGGTGATCTGAGGTTCATCGTAAGAAGTGCAGGTATCTATCCGTGCTGATCTTGGGAATGCTGAAATAACTTTTGCATGTGTGATTTTTTTTTTCTCATCTTTCTATTTTTGCACACGGGAAATTTTGTCAGCTCATGCTGTACTGAAAAACACGTGCTGGGTGGTCGAAGACAGGAAGTGGTTAACTTGTCATAAGTAAAATGAACATGCAGCACCTTATTTGAAGGTTTTTGTGATGAGCATGTGATGCACAATGCAGCTCCTGATAATTTGGTGTGCTGTGTTTATTTGCCTTTGCAGAGAAAATAAAGGTAAGGCTTTTTTTTTCCAACTTCTTTAGTTTTAATTTGTTAAGTTTGTCAGCAAAGCAGCGGAAGAGATTTTATTTGATTGTGATTGACACTCAGTATTTATATGACAGCAAAGATGGCAGGTTTTCTTCCATTAAAATGAATTAAAATAGAAAGAAACAAAAAAACTTTAAATTGATTTATTATGTATTTGTTTCACTGATGAGGCTTAAATCAGGAGTCAGTTAAAAAGTTAAAAATACAAAAGTATTTAAGAAAAATACTCAAATAATTACTGGATATTTACTGTTTTCATATACAAACATCTCTACATGTTTTATTAAACTATATTATCTGTTGTAATCTAATAATTAAAAACTAGTAATATGAAAATGAGACCCTGTAATAATTCTCTAGTGGACCAAAAGTTTTAATAGTTTTTTTCTGGTATTAGAAAAACATATCTCCAGAGCCTTAACATTACTATTAATCTTTTTTATTTCATATTATGTCTTAGGAAAAAAGGTATTGTATTGTGTTGTGTTTTGGTAAACATGTTATGTTGTAGATGTAATATGTTGTATACAGCGAGAGCTTCACCCAATTTTAATATTGATTATGGGTTATTTTGAGTTTGTTAGTTTGAATGATCATGATCACTGACCATTCATGATCAATAATATTTCATATAATTGAACAAGACAATAATATTAAATTAAAGAAAACATTCTATGACGTATTAGGGAATATCATTGTGTTCAATAACACAAAAATGGTTGATAATCCCGAGGTTATTTGAGAAAATGTAATTCACATAAAGGTTTCTTTGTGAGAATTCAATATATTTGCTTGAATATAAACTGTCTTTATTGTTCACATTTCCAAACAAACAAACAAAAAGGTCAAATAATGTTTGGTCATTAGTAAGTTCAACAGGATTGGCACTTAGCATCATATCTTGAAGTGTAAACACCTCTTTTACATCAAAATAAGCATGATATCATATTCACTGTTCTTGACAGATTTTGTGTCATTAAAATTACATTAATATTTTCAAATTACAGTTTCTTCATGTGAAGTGACGGCCAAATTGCAAAGAGGAGCAACAAAACGTGTTTCCCCTGGACAAAGTCTGACAGTCAAGTGTCCCGTCAAACACTGTG